GTTTGGAGGAGATTACCCACCGTTTGGCTGCTGTTGGTGAACTCACTTTCAAGGATGTGAAACTCTTGATCCGCACCGCGCCTGGTTGAAGACGCTGTAGGATATGGCTACTATGGTTGTGGATGGCTTCCCTGTTGTCAGTTTCTATCCAGATTGTCTGAATGAGTGTCGCAACGATTGGGCATTAACCTTGAACACTAATGTTATCTCGATGATGATGATGATGATGATGATGATGATGATGATGATGATGATGATGATGATGATGATATCGGTGTTATGTCCAACAGAGTTTGAGCTTCTTGGCTTGGACACTTTAGTGTCAGAAGCTTTGTTTATCAGATTTATAAGAAAGCTGAAAGAGGAACATCACTCTGGCTACTTTGCTCTTAGCTACCTAGAGTTGAAGACGCGAAAAGTTGGCGGACCACTATTGAACGCGACTGCTCACGATTCACCCACCCCTTCCCCTGATTTCTATCATTTAGATCTATTTGAATCCTGCCAGGCATAGGTGAATGAGGACATCTGGATGTAGTCTACAAATACTGCCATATTTAAATTTCTCCATTCAATTTTGTGAGTATGAACTACTCATCATGTATGCAGACGGTTTCGGAATCGTTTCCGTTCATTTACTTCCAGTCCTTATTTCAATGGGTTCCCATCAAGATGAGGACCGCTTGGATGGTTTTGCACACGCAGTGTGGTGTGTCATCCCGCTTAGAAGGTAGCAGATGAGTCCAGAATCCACTATACAGTGTTTGTACATATCAAAATCTCCTAATATTTAAGGTTGGACGCGTCTAGTAAGATACCCCTTTGGGAGTGTAAGGATGTCCCAATATAGAACCAAAAATCAAAGAAGTATGCGTAACGTATCGGACTGAACTCTCTTTTTGGCTACTCCGAGCATAATTCGTGGCTTAAGTAAGTTCCCATCAGGCGTTTTTTACTTTCCTATCATGACATCTTCTGAGTAACATCGAGACACCTCAATATTATACTATCGATCGTTCAACTTTCCATTATTTTTACACAAAAACAATCGATTCAGTCACCCGATTTCTGACGTCATCATGGTGTGTTGTCTGCCCGGACGCACGTTCCCAACACAACTGAGGGACCTTGACCTTTTTGTCTCTATCCAGCCGTTTTCTCTCTAAATTTTCCTCCTCATTCATTATCCCTCAGCCTGGAAAAAAGTCAAATATCCCGTTGATTTACAGTAATGAATGATTTGAGGAAAAATGTAACCCAGAAAATCCACAAGGTATTGCCACATTTTCGAGAATTTTGAAACACAGCTGTACCTTTCAGCTCGCTACATTCGAAATGTCAATGCCACACGCACGCATGCGATCTAGCCGCTAGATTTACAAAAATGCAAACAAAGCGTTTTCATCACAACCATATATCTTCGGAGCGCTTCGCGGTCTGTTCGCATTTTCAGTGCGATTGATGGAAAAGTTTGCTTTCCGAATTTCTTGCCGGTGTAATCGAAACAAAAATTGATCGGTTCATGCGAGAGCCTGGTTTGTCTAAAATCCTCTGAAGTTTAGCGAACAGAGGAATAGTTGGGCAAAGTGAATGTTGAATCTCCTCCACCGTCACTGATTGTCGCCAGGGGGTCGTGCATTTTTAGTTCCTTACCTGACCCTGGGCCATGTGCAACTCTCTCTCTTCTTTCCCGGGGCTATGCATCAGAGCTAAGTGGAATGTAGCAGACATCTCCAAATGGTTCATCTCTAGAATTATAAAGGCGTGTTAGTTTTGTGAAAATGGAGAACCCTTTGTCCAGCTGCCTCCAAGTAAGCACCAGATCCCCTATGGGTTCTCACATGTTACAGCCAAGGGAAACAGCAGCAGACGAATACTCTTCTAGTTGTGTAGTTTTAGATAGATAGATAGATAGATAGATAGATAGATAGATAGATAGATAGATAGATAGATAGATAGATAGATAGATAGATAGATAGATAGATAGATAGATAGATAGATAGATAGATAGATAGATAGATAGATAGATAGATAGATAGATAGATAGATAGATAGATAGATAGATAGATAGATAGATAGATAGATAGATAGATAGATAGATAGATAGATAGATAGATAGATAGATAGATAGATAGATAGATAGATAGATAGATAGATAGATAGATAGATAGATAGATAGATAGATAGATAGATAGATAGATAGATAGATAGATAGATAGATAGATAGATAGATAGATAGATAGATAGATAGATAGATAGATAGATAGGTTGGTAGGTAGATAGATAGACCGTGAACCCCGGTCTGGATAGCCGCTTGATCTTCTGGGGCGCTTGATCAAACCAGAAATAGTCAACAAACTTGCGAGTCAGCTGCTCTATTCATCACTGTCGCGTATAAGCGGGTCAAAATAGTGATACTGAAACTACAACTCACCTGTCAAGGACGATTGATGAGCAACCAATGAAATCTGTCTCAACGAAAATGGTTATCCCATTGACTGTTATTTAGTCCCGTTACGTTCGGAGCTGGTTCTCCTAATATGTTCATATTAATAGGTGTATACTGCGTAAGTGTAATAAAAAAATTAGTCTTACTTTGCACCACCAGTAGTGCTCGTCTCACACATTCCAGTAGGGGGTCTCGAACCCGTGACCCCCACCCAGTAGTATGGACGCCGAACCGCTCAGACACGAGCAGCTGATTAGAGTGTGATTAGCTCTCACCTAGACAGGATCAAGTGCAACTCATCCGCCATTTGTGGAATCCAAATTACATTGTCACTTCTGCTGATCGACTGTTGGCGTGGCGGCTTAGATAAATATTTCATTCGTCTGGCGATAGTGTGGGTTGAGTGACTGGGATAAAGTCATTTGCATGCAGACTTGGTTTTGACAGGGGAGACCCACCTAGAACCCCGTTGAATCTCTCATTTATGATATTTTTAAGCAACTGAACGTGCTGCACCAGGCCGTCTCATTAAAAATGAAAGATCCAGCTGGGTTTCAGGTGAGTTTTCCTTAAATTTGTTTGCAAATGCGTGTATTTCGCTGAGTTCGTGAAGTTTAGGCTAAAGTAGAACATAAGGTTGATGGATACTCGGAGACTGTGCCTATCTGATGAGCCCCAAGAAGAGTGGAACCTGTCATGAAATGTGGAACAGTTTTCAGCTACCTTATGAGTAGTGTAATATGTCTATGACTGGGATAGACTTTGATTTGTTGGTTTGTTACCTTTCTGTAAACTACTGGTTCTCAAAAGATTACTTTGTTATCCCTGGTAGCTCACATTGGTACCTCAACCACAGGAAAAGCATCCGACGCCTCGAAGAGATGGCTTTATTAGAGAGGAAAGCGGGTATTGCAGCAAAGTTTCTAGCCACTGTGTGCGCTCCAATCACATCTGAAACAGTTTGAAACAGTTTCCGTCACATTCGATATGGCGAATAAGAACCCCTCCCCATCTACATACGAAATGTCAGGACATCTCCGCATATCTGATTCGTTTGTCGCTCTCCAACCAATCTATGAGAATTCTTTTCCGACTGAATGCTGGAACAAAATGTCAATGAGTCTGAAACTCTCACTGATCCTGCTATCAGATGTGGGCGGGGATTATAGTGTTGCTGAACACCATTCAGTAGCCCAACCAACAGTGATTTAATGATAGCACTACACTTCAGTGATTGCCCGAAAACACGGAAGATCTTACGGCCTTGGTCGAAGCAACCCTACCGCACGATTCTAAAATGTCAAACGAGAAATTGACAACACAATCACTAACCCACACCAACTCACCGTGCGATATAATCAGTCTATGAGCGGAGCCATTCTTCCCCACGCAAGCACGAGGTGAACAGTGCGAGAACCTGAGAGAGGCGAGGTTAAAAACCGGAGCACGGTATTCTTGTCACATCTCAACTCCGATATGATCGTACGGCGAGCCTAAACTTGTTTTCCGCGAGTTATCCTTGTTCCAGAAGTAGCCTTTTATCGCCCACTTGTCCCCACTCATACCCCACTGTCCATGGCTTCCTGATTTGATTCCCCGACTGTATGGGATATCTTGTTGGCTCTTTAACTCACCAGTTCATTGTTAAAGAAACTTAATGCGCTCCAGTTGATACGATGTTTGTGATGTCGGAGCATATTTCTTGACGGAATACTACTCATAAGTCCACTGAACACTCTTGACAGTCCACGATCGGTTTCGCCCTTCCAATTCAGGCTCATCAGGTAGGCGCAGTCCCCGAGTTTCTTTCAATCTTATGTTCTACTTGATCCCAATTCAGACGGATTTCGACAGATAGACACATTTGCGAATCAATCAAACTTCCACGAGAGACTCGCCTGAAATGCACACAGGCCGCCCCATGTTTCAGTTGATACGATATTCGAGATATCGCAGTATTTTTTCGTAAAGGAAACTACTGCTGAAAACTCTTCGACAGCCCACGACCGGTTTCGCCCTTCTTTTCTGGTTTCTTGGCTGTTGATCAGGTGGCAGCTGATCAGTTCACCGTGTTTGGCAATCGGCTTGAAAATATTTCGTCATCGTACGAGAAGAAATCGTCGATTCCACCACCACTGCTTGCGTTCATCTATTTTCTGAAGAGTAGTTAATTAACTGCGAGACGATTGGTTGCTTAAAGATTGGCCAACCGATTTTTCAGGATTTGGGTTGCATTGTGGTCTGATTATCTTGCATCCATTTGGTTCATTGTGTATATCTCCATATTTCGGCAACTCACTTGCTTTGTTTTGGCTGCACTATTTCGCCTTCCTAGCGTGTTGCTTTCCAGCTACTCTTGCCATCGGGTTGGTCGGCAGAATACCTTCTATTTTAGTAGTTTTCTATCTTGATTCGACTAGTCCGCTCACTGTTCCGCCATTCCATTGGTTCACAGGACGAGTTTTCTTTCGACACAACTTTCATTTGTTGTTGTCCTAATTCACCAATCCGGGAACAGATCATCTACCACCTGATCAATAGTCCCACTTACCACTGTCTTAGTACATGGCTTCGTAGACGATCCATCAAACTGCCGGGTGCTATGGGGAAGTTTTTCTCACTAGTCCAGTTGATTCCTTTCAACACCCATTGTAGCATCGCATCAAAGTAAGCCTTTCCTAGTCCGTCTGATCTTCGGACCCACATCATTCGGTGACTTTTTACTGGTGTCGAGATTGAACAACACATTTCTACCAGTAGCACTCAGTTTCCTTTGAATTTGTAGGTTTTTTGTTTTGGAACCGGCACAATTCGCGGACCACTCTGTGCCGAGTTGTTGTTCCAACAGACCTCCCATCAAATAAAGTGTGGGGGCTGTCATCTGCCCCTGTCACTTACCGTAAGGGTTCCGAAAACGAGGCCTGTTTCACTTATCATCGACATTTACTCATAGCCGCTCACGTGGTACCCCGGATTTGGCAGTGTGGCTTCAACAAAAAAGTTGTACAACATCCATTCAAGAGGCAGTATGTGTTTGCCACCGGTCCACCGGACCCGGGCGGAATCTGATCCCGAAAACCTGACAAAAACAAGAGACGAAAACAAATGTGTGACCAGCTGCCGCTATTTTGCCGACGAATCGGAGAATGTCGGTCAGAACCGTTTGCAACATTTGTGATGTAGCAATTTTTCGCCAATACAAAGGGACTAGAAAGCGTTGTTCGCGAACGAGGATTCTTATTTTAAAACCATTCCGAGGTTTTCCCGGGGAGCACTGAAAATTTCCAGGAGATAAACATCCATTACAAGTCGACTGACGAAGCAAGCCGGGGCTTTTTTCGTGATTCCTGTCTGCGATCACCAAGTGACAAGCAACCTCTCCCTGGCTATCTGTCATCATCAAGGGGCGAATCACTTATGGAAATAGGTCAGTGCCCTAGCTTCTGGTACCCCTGATGGCAAACTTCAGTGAATTCGTGTTCTGTTGATTTTTTTTGTGTAACACAGACGCTCCTCGCATGGTTCAAAACAAGCAATTTGATTTGCCGTTTAGATGTCCCAAGACCGTACAACGAAAACAAAACTAGTGGTCGGACAAAGCGCTGGAGCACTCGCTAGGGGTCCGGCATCTTCCGGATAAATCTGAGCGGTCGGCAAATCGGAAACTAAGATGCTCGGACAACAGCCCCCAGAACTACTGAGTATCTCCACACTTCATTGAATGTTACTGAACAAACGTCTTCAGCACACTACCCTCCGAAACAGCAGGCTGTGTTGGGATCGGAACCTACAAGCACCAATTTTGTGGACTGTCTTACTTTTGAGTGAGTGAAGGCATCCCACTGTGAGAACGAAGGTATCGAACAAAGATTGATCCTTCGATATCGCTCAAAACGAGTACCACGCATGAAACGCGATGTAAGTTGCCTGCTCCAAGGTTGACGCATTTGCAGGCACACATGTCATGGCAAGAAGAGGGTTGGGAACAATAGTGCAAAGGTCGCACAAGCTTCGTTTGAAAACAAAGTTCTCTGTTTCGCAAATCTGGATTCTGGTCGCGGTTGGTAGAACTGCAAATCCTACTGTTCCAGACCTGTCCAACAGTACTTGGTACACATCCTGAAGAGGACACATTCATTTTGTACGGCGCGAGCATTTTCGGCCAGTTGTGATGCAACTGCACTCACTTAAGACCTCTATCAAACGCAATTCCGGTTAACGTAGCTGTCGTACACTTTCACAACTGCGATTGAAAACTGGTCAATCGATTCCGCTGAACTCATGGATTTTTCCAATTTTTCCGTCGAGGAAAAAGCGGATTGAAGTTTATTGCACACCGAACGAAATTTTTCAAGGAGATCTTGGAAATTTTGTGGAGATTTCGTCTTGTATCTGAAGCCGATCTATGCTGAAAAGCCGAGAAGCACTGTACAGCTGTTTCATCCCTATTGGGAATCATCAGCAGTGCGCATCTCACGAAACTCCGAGGAGTCTCGAACCCGCGACCTCCCGGCTAGTAGTTTGAACACCTAACCGTTCGGCCACGAGTGGCTGATCAGCAGTGTGATTAACTCGCACTTAGACAGGATATAGCGCCGCTCATCCTTCAATCACGGGATCCGCATCACGCGGTCACACGTGTTGACTGGCTCCTCGAGCGACGACTTCTCAGATAGAAGTTTCCGCTCATCGGTGAAGTGTATTCTTCCACTGAGCTACTTATAGATTGTGGAGATTTAAAAATTGTGAACTCTGCTTGAACGTGAGATTCAGCTTCCAATCACATCAATCCCTCCGGATAGGCAACTAGGCCATCTGCAGAAACTGAATTTACACAGTGATACTCTTACTTGCAGGAATTATCCGAACTGCAGAAATACTTGGAGATCCAGAGCTATTTCATCATAAAAGTTTGGTAGTAGACTCAAGGACCTTATGTAGATGAGTTGGCGTACTCTAATTGGTATATCCACCGGTGGAAACGCTTTTAATGTATTGTATTTTACTGCATTGTATTATATTGTATTGTGTTGTATTGTATTGTGTTGTATTGTATTGTATTGCATTGCATTGTAGTGTAGTGTAGTGTATTACAGTGTATTGTAATGTATTGTATTGTATTGTCTGATCGTCTACAAAACTAACTTTAAGAGGAAGATATTGCAGCAACCAAGGTGAACCCCTTGAGGGGCTCGCGACTCCCTCCCGAGTAGACACCATTGTGAGTGAAACTGTCCAATGTAACCCTCACACTGAAAGCACGGACATATGAGGCTGTTGAAGACATAATTCTTGATAGTGACATTTGATTGGTGTTTGATTTACACCCTCTCATCGGTCGACAACCTTTTCAGCATGGCACCACCAACTAGTATTCACTATTCCTTCATTGCATTCCTCATTGTTTTACAAATTTTCCTACAACTGGCCGGACTGAATGACAGTGTGTGCGTGTGTGTGTGTGTGTGCCTACGTGTGTACAACATCAGCCCCCTCGCTCGGTTTACAAGATAGGCATTTTTAATTACCAACGTGCAGTATTGATGCGAACATGTTGGCCATCACCTCTCCCGCTGACATGACGTCTGCTGTCGCCCCGTGGACCGAATACGCGGAAACACCGTACCGGTTGTGCTCCGAGGTGTTGTCGTTGGTGTTGTCTATCCGAACAGCAATTCGTGACTGCTGCTGAGTAATGGAAACGTGAAAACAGTGATTAGTCGTCAATGATCTGCATTCGTCCAGCTGTTGGAAACGCAGTGCGTCGCCTCCCCCCGGTTTCGGTCAGTTCGAAATTTTGGAACCCTTCGCCCTGGTTCTAGGCGAGCGCAGTTTGAATGACAGAAGACGATTAATGAGTATGTGGATCCGGCCAGTTGGTGTCATTCAGACGGACTGTGGGGGAAGAGGCTCTGCTTGACATATTGTGTGCCAAACTCAAAATTCCAATCATTTTGTTTCGTACAAGAGGTCCAGAGCACAACTGCTGAGGTAAAGTCTTCGACAGTGAGTGAGCAATATTCAGTTCGGTATGATCGCTCAGCTGTAACACGCTTTCCGTGCCACCCGATGAAAGCATAAGGGAGGAGATAGTGCAAGGCTGGTCAGGCAGGAGCTGTCGAGGTTGGATTCGAACCACAGACCTTCTGGGCAGTAGGCTTTTTCCTTAGTCACTCGGGGGCATGCTCAGTCAATAGCCGAATTCGTGCGGCTGTTTGTAGAATACCGAGACACCGATTTGAGCCACTTTCGAGCACGACGAGTGAGGTTAAGCTTCTGGAATTAGTTGAATAAGTTTCGTCGGTCCCTTTTTCTCTGATGCTACGGTTTCCGGTGACAGTTTCCTCTGTATGCTGCAGACACATGTTATCCCGCAACTCAAACAGTACAAGCACTCATCGACCGTCTTTCAACAAGATGGCGCTCCAACCCACTACTCAAAGCAGGTGAGAACTTACCTCCGAGAGGTACTTTCTGATGAGAGAGTCATTGATCGTGGATTTCCAAACTTTTGGTCCGCAAGGTCATCCGATCTCATACCTCTGGATCATTGGTTTTGGGGAATGATCAAGGCTCGCGTATATCATGAAAATAAACAGAAGAATTTGGTGGAGTTAAGAGCAAGAATTGAAGAGGAGTGTGCACCAGTGACGCTTGAAGAAGTTAAACATGCTGTGTCTCACATCTCATGCCGGGTCCAACTTGTTATAGAAGAAGGAGGCGGTTTCGTGCAGCATCTTTTGTAATGTTAGTTTATTTGTAGCAAACCCCCATAATGCGTGCATGTTCAGCTGAAAGATAATAAACGTTTAATTTGGGGTTAAAGTTTTAACATGAGTATTATTTTTTGCGTCTATTATGAGACACCCTGTATATATAAACTGGCGACATTTTAAAACACACTTGTTAAGCTGCATAAACAAAGAGCCTAATTTCGTGACAAGAAACTCCGCAACCCTTTATCTCATCCTCCGTTTTAGGACTGCTCGGCTGGCATAGCACCGGCGTGTCCAGTAGTTTTGTTTTCCTCATTTGATGGTGTTAAAATCCAAGATGTGCTGCACAAAAACCGCTCACAATCTGGTTCTTGGGGTTCCATTTTTTAACGAATACTATCTCAATAGGCAGCCTGATTCCTCGTTTTTGGTAGACATTTAATGATAGGGTGCTGTTTTTACTCGCGAAATTTCTTCAGTCTTGATCAGTAGGTGGCGCCCTCTTTTGCTTTAATGGTTTTTGTTGATCAGGTTCAAATTAGATAGGACCTGTTCAACCAGTCCCGGAAATTTATGGGTTAATCCTTCCTATTTATCCTGTTTTACCTGGGTTTAACATTGGTCCAGATCATCAGGAACGATAACTCTCTGCACAGTATGTTGCTGAAAACCTTATGAGTAGTGTATTTCGCCTGTACAACGTATTGCGATGTCTCGGATACCGTACAAGCTGAAACATGAGGTGGCCTGGTGCAGTTGCATAAGAACATCATAAACGAAAGATTCAGGTGGGTTTCAGCTAAGTCTCTTCCTCTAAAACCAAACTGATATGCCAATGAGTGTACTTCGCTAATTTTGTGCAATTTATCTAGCGATTAGGATCAAATCTTTCAAAAGTTTCATGAAATACGCGCTGGTGAGGATCCGAACGTCTGATTCGCCTTCAGATGAAGCACTCCCATTGGCTACCTGCGAGGAGAGACTGAAAGACAC